TCCGGCCCCGGCCTGGCCCGCGCTGCGCCCACGGAGGGCACCGCGGGAGCTGGACACGAGTGGGGGGAGACACACGGGAAGCTGTGCACGGGGGGGGCTTCATATGGGTGTGCACAAATAGTGGTACATGCAGAGATGTGTGCCCAAGGGGCTTGTACATGCGTGTGCCTGTGCACACTGCCTGCCTGCAGCTCATCCTAGCATCTACCCAGGGGTGCAGATGGACCTGGCCAGGCACCCCCGCAGGGGCAGCAGGGCGCTGAGCTCCTCTGCCTAGTCCAAAACCTGCAGGAAGTGAGGGCTGGGGCAAATCCTGTCCAGGCGGAGGAGCACTGATCCCGGAGCAGCCTGCCAGATGGATCCCAGCCTCACCTGCCTGCCCATGGAGCCTGCAGACCTGCCTCCACAGCCTGTGCATTGCCCCCCGGGCACGCCCTTAGCCATCCTAGCAGGGCCAGTCTGGTTTATTGCTGACAGAGCTCCCTGGGGACTGTTCACATCTCTGAGCTTTTGTCACTCCTACCATGTGATGAGTTTGGGGGTCTGAGCCTATCCTTTGGACTGCCTCGTCCAGCCTCACCCCAGGACAGAGCTGGGCAGGGCCAGCAAAGGTGTATACTATGCCCCCTCCTCCCCACAAATTAAAATGGATGTTTGCATGTACTGAGGGCTCATGAGGTGGCAGCCAGCGTCACATCAACCTGAAGATGTTCTTCAGATTCTTAGCCCCGGATACTGTGCTTAGAGCAAGGCGCACAGCCTGAGCCAGGGCAGGGTCCTGTAGAAATCTCCTGAAAGTGGTGTGAGGTGCCGTGTTGTTGGGGGAGTGGGAGAGCCCAGCGCTCTTGTGCCAGAGCAGGGAACCCAGAGAGTGCAGTGGGAACCTGAAGCCCAGCCAGCCCTTCAGGCATGTCCTGTGCCCACCATGCTGTGCAGCACTGACTCCAAGGTCTTGACCACACAGAGCCCCAGTCTCTGGCCAAGCACAGAGGTGACGTGTAAACAGAGTGGGCTGTCTGGGAAAAAGCACCCACCGGAGATGATGCAACCATACTGCAAGGGGCAAAGTTCTCAGCTGGTTGGGCCTGCTGGCAGCTCCCAGAATAGCCCAGGAAT